ATTTTTGTTTCTCTTGGCGATTGGCTTCGATTTTATGTGTGTTGAGGAGTTGAATGGTTGTTTATTTGCGTTGATTCAGTTTTTCGATGTTTAGAACGAATACATGTATGATATTGCATCAATTTAGGTTTTTTTCTGTTGATTTTGTTTTCTGGTGTTCTTCTTTGTTTCGTTCCCTGTTTTTCTTCGATTTTTCGTTTATGTTGGAATTGAGGTCTGTGGCTGCGGGAGTTTGATTTGAAATGTTTGAAGTGGTGTGGTGGGAGGTTGAAGATGAAGAAATATTTTCGATGAAGTGGGATGGACCTCGAGCGAGGTTGAAGAGATTTGAAACGTTGCTCAAGGTTTAGTAAGCCTCTGTCATTTTTCTCAGGTTCGACCTCGAACAAGGTCGAGCCCGAGGCAATTAAAAGAGGCTGAACCTCGAGAAACCTCACTCGAGGTTGAGCCTCTTTCAATTACCTCGGGCTCAACCTCGCCCGAGATCGAACCCGAGAAAAATGACAAAAGCTTAGAAACCTCGAGGTTGCGTCAACTTCTTCTATCACCAACCGTTGACCTCGGGCGAAACCTCACCCGAGGTCCGTCGTTTCTTATGAAACTCGGTCGGGAAACCATAACTCCCGCCCGAGGTTCATAGTCAACTTTAGCAGAATCATGCCGAAATACGAAACTAAATTTGAAAATGACAACATGTTTCAAAATCAAAGCAAACAAAACAGCAAAATTGCTTTTCAAATGTAGTCCAATCTTAAGAAGAAATCAAAAACAGCAAAATTAAAGGCAATGGTTGTTGTGAATTAAATGATTCCCGGGCGGGAATTAATATGACCCCGGTCGAGGTTTTTTCCAGCAGTCATGTCTTATAATTAAGGATATTTTGGTCATTTYATCTCCTCTGACACATCATTAATGCTTAAAGTAGGTCATTTGGRCATATTTAAAAAAGGTGGGTCATTTGARCATTCCATAAACTTTTGAAGGTCATTTGAGTCAATTTCTCAGCAAACAATTTATTATTTTTTAATTAAATTTATAATACCAATTTTTAAAGGTAGATTCACCTTGTTCATGTGTTTTTCTTTTGAGCAAAAAAAGGTGGAATTCAAACTTTCTTGATCAATTGATCAATTGAGTTATGCTCACATTGTTGTAAGAGAGGATGTATTACATTGCAGAAGCCTCGTCGCTTGGTCATTGACTCTCAAAATGGTTAATATCGTGCAAGTTTATACTAACTCACTATGTCATAATTGACACGAGAATGCAACGCACAGTCAAATTTGAGGTCGCAAAGGACGTAGAACGCACCATCCACGTCGCACAAGCATCGTCCTAACAAATTTACACAACGTCAACATTCATTGGTAAGGTTATATGTTCATCAAATGGATACAAAGTGGTATGCTGTTTAGGCATGGGTTTACATATGTACATCAGCAATTAACATTCAAGCATCACAAAAAAACTTGGCAAATTAGCAAAAACACCCAAAACCCCTTATTATCTGCCCTTCCTAGTGGTGCAACAAACCAAACAACAATCAACAGTGAAGAACAAAACAAAAAGCACAAGTCAAAGAAGTAACCTTGGCTGCCAATCTTGTCATTAACTTGTTATATAGTTCACTGCTCCCTCTTCTTACGAGGCAAATAGAAGGGCTTTCTTCTGGCTCTTGACTTTCTTCTTTCTCCATAGGAGCTTCCTCCACAATCCACCGTCTCCCCGCTTTCTGCTCGGAACGATAGCCAAACTACCAACCGAATCTCTATGTCCATTCCATATGAGGATTGCTTTGTGCGGATCAACCACCTTATCAGGATCCAACGTCGAAGTGGGATTTCCATCGACTTCTATAGGCTTTGGAAACTTATGATCTCTAGTGGTGGCGTCGTCCTCGGCCAGCATTTGATCTAGTAGAGAGAACCGGTTATTTGTCATCTTGATACTGGAAACAGTCGGGGTTGGGGTCGGGGCCATGTCTGTTACGGGGGTGGTTGTGGTGGTGGAGATGCTACAAGTTTGTGTTTCATCATTTGCAGTAGTGATCACCTTGTCTAAAAGTGCAGCTTCCTTGGGTGTAGCCAGTGCCTTCAACTGCTTGCCGAGGTTAAGAATCGTCTCTTGGCACTCTGCTAATTTTTCAGAAGCAGTTGTTATCTCCCATTCCTGCAAAATTGTTGAAGTAAATATTACTGCAGGATTAAATAAAATGACACGATTTAACAAAGAGTTAATTTCTCTTCAACTGTTGGCATGCCTGATAACAAAAGCATCTAAATCGTGTACAATATGTTCAAACTATACAACTCCAGACACAGAATTCAGTTTCACGAAACGAAGGAGTCGTTATAAGATGAGAAAACTTACCGTGCGTAGTTGCTTCTCTTCCTGACCGAGATCGGTGTTTGGGTTTAGTTTCTTTGTGCTGAAAAAAAATGTAGCTTATGTAAATAAATAAATTTAAGATTAATAACCAATGGAATTAGTAAAGTAAATCATAGAGAATTCAGAACCTTTCCAGCTGAAGTTGCAGTTCAAGGCATGTGGCCTCTAATTCTTCAAAGCAATTGTTTTTGTTGTCCAATTCCACTTCTAGAGCTGCAACCTTTCTGCGGGTCTCATTTAGTTCAGTTCTAGCTGCCATAAGCTGTGCTTCTAGATCTTGATTCACCAAATTCTGATTGACAATTTGGCCTTCGATTGATCCCTTCGATTCTGTAAGGGTTTCTAATTCCTTCCGCAAGTTGACAACTTTCTTTTCTGATTCTTGAAGTTGATTTGTTAGCGTTTCAATTTTAATGGTAGTAGACTGCAACTTCGCTTCAAGGTCTTTCTTTGTAGATTCTACAATCGTTAGCTCTTCTTTCAGTTTTCTATTTCCTTCTGTCAAGGCAGGTTGCACCTCTCCGGTTGGGACGCTATACCATGAAAACTGTTCTCTAAGGACACGTGGTCTATCAACTTCTGGAACATGAACTGTCGTTCCGGTTTCCAGTTCACAGTCACTGCGTGACTCATCCCAATCGAAACGCTTCTTTATGGAGTCTCTCATGCTTGAAACATCTTGAAGTGAAAAGCAATGGTTCATAATCCAATCCAAGGTAGAGTTTATTTCTTGCAGAAAATTACCTAGATCTGCCTTCCCATTCAACAGATCATAACAATCATGTATAAACTGCTTCAAAATAGTGTTCAGTTCCAACGTTTTCCATTGGAAAACTCGTACCATAAAGCCCGTAGGTGTTTCTGAATAGAAACCATCCTTTCTGCAGGAAGAGTTATCCTCATCTGAAGATGACACACTAATCCCTTCTACAAGCTCAATCAATCTCGATATCGAACCCTGTAGATCCACCTGATGCTGGTTATGCTTCTTCACTGAAGTGATGTCAATGTCATTCACTTCACTCACTGGATCTGTCCCCAAAGGCTTCTGCAAGTCGCTGCCAGGGAGATTAGGTTCATCACAATGATTTGCATTCTCTTTTGTATCAATATAATTTTCACGATTCTGGCATTTTATCGCTGCTCGAATATCCTCCAGTATTTGTTCCGGATCTCTTCGGGAGAAACTGCTTTGGTCAAATACCATTTTCAAGATACTTTGAATCCAATCAGGAACTTCACCCTTTGATATATCTCCAGACATGGTATCTGGGACTGTCTCCTTAGATTCAGGGCAACAGCCATTTTGCTCAGTTTCCAAGGCCTTGGGTTTTCCATTAACTTCATTTGAAAGTATCTGAGAATTTCCAGCAGGTTTTTCAACAGAGACAATAGCCAATTTTTCCATTTCAACAAAGTCATCCATCAGATCCAAATCTGAAGATCCAACTATTTTACATGTTATTGACCCTTTATGCTTCCCATGTTTGAAGTGCTCCAGGTCTGAAATCATCGCAGAAGCCCATGATTCAGCAGAGCTAACCTTATCATCGCTCCCAGCATCGGACATCGAAGCAAGAGGGAGCTCAGGTAATGTTATACTCTTTCCTGATTCCATGATTTTATGACCATTTGATAATTCTCGAGGCGACTCGACTTGTAACGATTTGGGAGATGCACGGGCGTGGATGCTTTTTGCAACTTGAAGTTCATTGTTCTTTTTGTTGAGAGCTTCCTTTAGAGCACTGTTCTCTTCTTCCAAAACTGACACTCGAGAAGTCAGAACACTAATACGTTTGTTGGGAGTCTCTGGAGAGTTCTCTAGTGAAGAGTCCAAAGAACCCGTTGGATTCAAGTGTCGTCTTCTGATCTCAAATGAATCCCTTCCTAGCATTTCGACTTCGTTTTTCATCTTTACCAAGGCTGCAGGACCTGGCAACCTCTTTCGGACAAGGAGGCGCAGCCTCTGGCACTCCGATTCGAGTTTTGCAATCTTTTTCACACTCTCTAAGTGTTGCTTATGTGATGCATCTGCAGTTCGTCGGTTGAATTCTCTCTCCTCATTCCGAATCTCGACCTCCTTCTCAAGCACTCGGACTTCATATTTAAAGGTAGCATTTTCTTTCTCTATGGATTCTAATCTAGATACTAATCCATTAAGATCCGCCTCCACACCAGCCAACTGTCTATTTAGATCTTCAATCATCTTTTCCTTCACCAATAAAGCCTTGCTAAGTTGAGTGTTCTCGCCGCCCAGTTTCGAAAGCCTTTTACCTGTATCAGCTAACTTCTCCTCCAAAATCTTTTGAGTCTTTTCAAATTCATTTGATGTCTTTGAGACCGCATCATGAATCCTTTGCTCCTGCTCTTCTCGAACAAACCGTAGCTGCTGCATGCATTCCTTTAGAGCTGCATCTAGATGAATCACTCTCTCTTCACCAGCAAATCTCTTCTGTACAGCATCATTTAGTTCTTGCTTCAAAGTTGCCGCTTCAGATTTCGCCTTTTCCCATCCTGTATCAAACCATTTATGAAAGCCATTGATGTATCAGTTAACAGATTTATAAACGCAGGTTATACACCACGCCACGCAAAATAAAACCTTAAAGAACGATATGAAAGCTAGGTCGATGGAGAAGGAAAGAAATTACCGGCAATGGCTTCCTGTTCCATGTTTGTAAGTTTCTTCACAAGTTCATCCTTTGTCCTACACTCAGAGAGAGCTACAGAGAGTTTATCATTTGCAATCTCAAGATCTTTCTCCAACCGAGCTTTGTCAATAAGAAGTGTCTGCAAAAGGAGACAATAAATCATTTAGAATCCCTCAAAGTTACTAAAAACGATTCCAAATCAAAACCCCTGATAAAAAAACTCAGTAATAGAAATCTCAAATGATGCAGTAAACATGAACATAGCTTCGAGACATGGCGAAACGCCGATACATCTAAGCCATTGCCCCCAAGGGGACTAAACGAGTACAGGCCGACCGTCCCGAAACTCACGATGTAGATCCAATGGTTGAAAATCCTATGACTATCAGGAACTAATCTTAAAAAAAAAAAAAGCTTCCCAAAGATTCCCAGAAAAGTTGAAATGGAATCTTATGGTCAAAGGAACAGTCCATAATGAATTTGTAGCCAAAATTAAGCAACACATTGAACAGTTGACTTCCATTGTTTAAGCAAACTGAAGAAGCTGAAGATTAATACCTCTTCTTCATTCTTATTGACAGAAACATTCACTTTATCACTGGAAACAGTTATCTTCTCTGATGACTTCTTCCTCCAAAGCCACGTCTTCTGGTCCATCGCCAAGGCTCAATCTTCAAACCCCAAAAACAGACCTCTGCAATATTCCCACAAGTTCAAAACAAAACCATCAGCTTCTAAAACCAAAAAACAGACAAAACCCCACATTACCATTTTCCCACAAGAAACACTTTCCATTAGGTCAGAAAGAAGAAGCAAAATCAGGTAAAAAAAAGAAAATTCGATCCAAGTAGACGAAAAGGGAAATTAGAAATGTACCTGAAAGAAGAAAATGCAGCAGATTCTGCTCTGTTACCCCATTAAGGAAAAATCAAGAAAAAAAAAGGCCTTAAAATCCCGATTTCAGGCTCGGAAACGAAGTGCATGAATCCGAAACCAGAGATTTGGCACTCCAATGGCGGATGAAGCTCCAAAATCCGCGAGAATGGCTTCTGATTCTGCCGACAGAGAAGCTCTTTTAAGAAAGTAGAGAGAGAAAGTAGAGAGAGAAAGGAGTGTCGGCTGTGATCTGACAGAAGGAGGAGGAGAAGGGGGGAGTCGTTAAAGGGAAGATTTTGGCGGGTCGCTTTTGCTTTGATCCAACGGACCGCGAGAGCGCGGGTCGTAATCTGGGCCGTCCATTTATTTTTCTTTTACGCAATATAATTATATATGTGATTGTGATTTTCATTTTTCCATGCCTCTAACTCAACTATCAATGTCATTATATTATACTACCGTTTTTCTTTGTATTTGACATTTGTTCCTTTTTCCATTATTAAAAATAGTAAAAGTTTTTTTTTTTCTGTTTCCTTTTTAGTTTGAGATTAAAATATTCTTTCGTTTTCATACAAATATTACCTTGAAATTTAATAAAATAAAAATCTCGGCGTGTGTATGCATACAAATCTTACATGAAAATATTCCTTTTGATTTTTTATTTATAATTTTTCACACTTCATTCATTTTTCTGTATTTTTACTAGATATAAATTTTGTGTTAAAATTTTATAATTAAAAATTAAAATAATCACTTATTTGTAAAAATTAAAATAATTTTTTAAAAATAGAAAGATTAAAATGAACCAAAGTTAAAAATATGTATATAAAAATAGGTAATTTAAAAATAGAGGAACCAGGATAAATYAAATAAAAGATATATATTTTATGTAAAATAGTATTTTAAACTTTCAATTAAATAAAAATGTTGATATATATATAATATATATATATTATTGTACTTGAAGTACTCGCACCAATTGGGATTCTCTAGGTGCTCTTGCATTTTGTGTCAAATCTCAATGATTTTACTGTATATTTTTATTCCTTTTTACAGAATTTGAAGTTAAAAAGCTATTTGTATTCATGTTTTTTATTTTTTCTTTTTCAATTAATAAATTATGATGTATTCAAAAATTAAGAAATTGGTAACTTTTTCGCGTTTCTTGAAATCAAAAATATGTTTAGTAATAATTTTTCATTTTTTGTTGTCTAAAATTTTAGATTAAAAAAAATTAAAGGTTTTATATGAAATTCAAATTCTTAAATTAAATAATTAAATTTTTTATGTTACATTTATTATGTAATTTAAAAATGAAAATTTTGAAATTTGACCTTTTTTTTTCTAAAATTTATATCCACTCTAAAATCTTTATCTATAAAATATTAACTTTTTATCTCTATTTCTAGAATTTTAATCTCTTAATTGGAGAATGAGACAGGTCATCGAATTTTTTGAGTAGTAATAAGTGTTTATGTTTTGAGTTATGCTCAATTTTTTTTAAGGAAGTAAACTCTAAAATTTGTAGAATTATAATTTTAAATTCTGAAAATCTCATTGAAACCCAGTAGATTCTATGTAATTTTCTGATAATTAACATACATTAATTGCAGTAATTTACTGTATTGTTTTAATTAATAAATTATTGAATGATTACTTAATCTTTACTTCACAACCATTTATTGAATTATAATGGTAGTTCAATAATTTATAATTATGAATTGGTTCGTATGATTTCAATTATTTCTTATTTTTAATTTTTTTTTTACATAGGACCTCCCGCTCTGATACCAGACAATGCAGGGGTTCGAACATAGGACCTCCCGCTCTGATACCATCTTAAGAATGAAAAGACCACCACTCAACCCAAAAGCTTAAGCTGATGAGTTGAGTAAATTTAATTCATTTATATAGATTCTAACACTTACATTAAAGGCATGTTTGACCAAAATTACTTTTGTCATTATCAAAATTGCTTCCATTTATAATACTAACCTTCGACAATGATATACGGGTGAATTTAAAAAATGACAAAAGCGATTTTACCAAAATCACTCCGGAACGTATCCGAAATTATTGCTCCAATTCCCTCTCAAGTCTTTTTTATAGAAAGAAAAAGATGTTTCATTTGTGAGGATGAGACAAAAGATTGGACAAATTCTGCATTCTTATGTTAGACCATGGTCCCATGCTTCACTTTACAATATCACCAACAAGATTCTCAATTTTTTTTAAAAAAAATGATTTTTTTCCGTAGAGGTCCTACCATAAAATTTCTTTTATCCTTTAATTTATTATAGAAAATCTATTTTCGATATTAATAATAATAAAATATAGTTTTGACCCTCCAAAATTTACCATATTTCTCAATTGGTCCCTTAATTAGTTTTAAAAAATTACGTTTTACCTTTGCAACCAAAAAAGAAAAGGAAAAAAACATTTTAGTCTATCAAGTTTTAGTAAGTTTTAAATTTAAATTTTTTTAACGAAGAAATAACATGACTAATTATTATTATTACATACGTGTTAATTGTCACTTTTATTGTAATTTTTGACTCAAAATTTAATAGTTTTTGGGAAGATTAGAAATGAAGAAGTTCTATGATATATAAAGTGTCCGGCCATTTGTCATGATTTTGAACCTAGCTGATGTATTATTTTGTTGGGCAAGCATCCTAAGGTCATCAATTTCCTTCACCCTTCGGCAACGGGCAGGACACATCCTTCTTACATGGTCTTATGATTTTTCAGAGACCGTTTTTGAAAACAATCGCTCGGGACAACATCATCTTTGTGGTAAAAGTGGTAATTCAAGAGAAATCATCGTTGTAAGGAATGGAGGGAATAAAAGACAGCATCTTTAATACTAAGATAAAATCAAAAGTAAATTATTTCAGATTTAGATTAAAGTCATGCTATTGTAAAAATAACACTGGACTTGAGAAAATATTTGGGGAAGGAAATTAAAAGGAAAAAAGAAAGGGAAAAGAAAAAGTAATCAGCACTTTAATTAAAGTGGAAAGGAGAGGAATTCGTGGGGATTTGGTGAATAGTCATTGGTTAATATTTTGGCATCATCTCTCAAGCTTTCCTTTTAATGATGATAAAGAGAATAATTAATGATTAAGAAAGATTAATGGTTTAATTAATTTGATTGGTGGACCCTCATTTTCCCCTTTTTAATTATGGTTGTTTAGCTTAAAGTGACACCTAAATCCCCCAATGACTTGCATTATTTCCCATTCTTCTCTTTCATTATACTCTTTCTCTTTACTTTTCTTTAATTAATCACTTTTTTTTAGATTCTAATTTGTTTTGGTTGGTTCATTAAAAAAAAAAAAGTTTTGGTTGGTGATGGAAAATTAATGCTTAATTTTACGAGCTAATTAAGCTTGGCCCATTGACATAGAAGTTCACAATTCTGAGCCTCCTCTCTAGGGAGGAGCAAAATATTGAAAATTACCGCACACTTACTCAATACAATATAGGTTGGACCACGCTTAAGACATGCCCGTATTTGTTCGTGTTTGATTAAGATTTATTTGACTTGGAGACCTCTAACTTTTAGCTAGCCTCACAACTCGGCTAATTGTGGGACGCTGTCTATAATAACATTACTAAAACCACTTTTTCTAATAGCTAGAAGCACTTAAAGTAATTTGTGATAAAGTCTACCTGTAGCGTGYTTGACTGGAAAGCACTTCAAAAATACTTTTAAAAAGTGTAGAACTAAACATCAAAATAATTTATTATTAACCATTTTTTACTTTACTAAAAGTATTTATAGTTAACCTATATTTTCTAAAAAGACACTTATCCGAGAAGTAGGGATCATCAAATGCAAAAAATTGATAGAAAAATTGAGATTTAAGAATTTTCTCTCTAATTTGCCCCTCCTCGTCCCTCCTAAAACCACTCCCGATTAGAAGTTTAGAAATATACTAATCGTTCAACACCGACGATACTCGAAATTTCAAAGTAGATAATGAAAAGGAATTTAATAGGACCCCTCAAATCAAACCGATTAATTAAACAAAGCACATTATAATGCGGTGCCGTTTTATAGCAATTGGAGAATGATTGATTGGGACACTTCAAAGTGCCCACCAACTCTTCTACAACTGATTAATTAATTAGGGTGCATAGTGGTTAGAACACAAGGTTTGTTGATTATTCATTATTAATCATTTTCATAACAAATTAACCATTTTTATTTTTCATTTTCAAATTTTGAAGAAATGGGTATGGGTTATAATGTTGTATCACCTTGAAAATCAACAATCGATCGATCATTTGACGATGATTTATCAAGTACATATAAAGATATATAAGAAGTTTGTATTAATATGCTTGTTGTGATGTTTGTTGGAGTAGCTTTGAAACAACAGAGATAATTGGAGTAGATCATTTGCAAGTTTCTTTGAGAGATTCAAGCTGCAATGTGTATTTCTTTATCAACCGTTGGTAAACGTTGTGTGGCTCAAACCACTTTGCAAACTAGAGGTTAAGCTCAAAGCTCCACAGCAAAAAACACCCCTCTTTTGACGAAGTGCTCTTAAAGGAGCAAAATAGAGAAAGTAGAGGAAGTAGAGACAAGTTGTTTTTTTAAGAGTATAGGGAGGGAGGTATTTATAAGAAACTTGCATGTAATAACTGGAAAAATTAATAAGTTTCTTTTTAACTTCTTTTAAAATATAAAACTGATAAAACCTCTCCATCCTTAAACTCTTAAATTAAATACCAAAAAAAAGAAAAAAAAATCATCTTTAATTATTGATAAATATTAAAATGTAACAATAGTAATTAAGATGTGTGGGATAGAAAATGAGAGAAAATTATGCAATTTTTCAAATGGGTTGTGAATGTCTCTAGAACATAATTGTTGCAAAGTCTCTTTGTGAATAGGATTCCCTAACAAGTTGAAGATTTTATTCAATAATGCAATTATGATGGATACCAACCATTTTTCTTTTTCTTGTGAAGATTTTATGCTTGAGTTATGACTTGAGTTAAAAGATGAAGTTGCACGTTTGTTACGTATTGTCTAGTCATTTAAGTTAAATATCACACACAATATTTAATTATTAGATATGCTTAATTATGAGATAAATAGGCTTATATATTAAATATAAACTAAGTTTCTTAATCTCAAATTATATAAATTTAATCCATAAGCCAAACAATCACTTTTAAGCAATTATACTAACAATGTCTTGTTTATCAACATAATAATGGCAATGCTATTTTTTTTTAAAAAAAAAA